TATTTTTTGTACTAAATATATATATATAAAACTTTAACTATATAACTATAATATATATATATGCTAAAACTTTTCTGTCTATACATGATATCAAATTACTTTGTTTGATCTTTCCTTATCTGCGAAACGCTTAATATTTGTTTAATTTTTTTTCCTGAAAATTTGCATGAGAATTATTTTGAGTTTCCTTCTTTACTCTTTATCCTAATTTCCTCCTTCATAACATATGATGCAAATGAGAAAAACATGTGACCAACGCTGGCGCAATGTGTTGCATTATGCATATTATTTGAACGCTCTAGTGTTTTTTAGTTTTCTGAATGAATTCGCCAATAATAATGACTTCGCCAAAGCATATGTTTCTAATGTGTCCAGAGTCATCTGTGAAAGAATTAAATAAGACGTTTCTGTAAAATAACGAAACTTAATAAATTTGGAAAAGCACTGTTTTGGAAGATAACTAGTTTTTAATAACTTTTGTATGTGGCTTTAAGTTATCAATTCGAAGTTTTATATCTGTTTTAAAAATGTTAATTATTCACAGGCGGCATAAATTGAAAACTTTCTTAAAAATAGAAAAAAATAGATTAGGTCTTTTGTAGGATTTCAGATTTTCTGAAAGATTTTTTAAAAACGATTGTACATTTCAACTTGCTTTTAACATTAAAGAATTTTTTTTTTAAATCTTCAAAAATTTATGTGACATGCCGATTAATTTTAGATCTTAATTTAAGATGTTTAAAATATTTTCAATGTCTGTTACTTTGTAGACAATTTTTACTAAATGCAACTTAATAAATTCAGTATTCGATGCAAAGACTTAAGATTTAAAATGCGTAAATATTAGTGATTCTTAAATAAACCAAACTTGATTTTGTATTTCCTTTTAACTTCTTTTCATTTTGAAATGCAGGCTTGCTTTATATTTTGTTAGTATGAGATTTAATGAGAATGTAATAATAATATAATCCAAAGAGGACTACAAATTATAATAAAATATTTGAATTATAATAAATATTTGAATTTTGAATATTTGAATAAAATATTGAAATTTATTTGAATTCACCGCAAATTTGGTTTAAGGTTTTTCTTAAATTATATATTTGTTTTTTTAGGTTGACATCATACATTTTACTGTATTTCGAATTTTTTCTTTAACTTTTAACTAGAAATTGAATTGTTTTCCATATTCTCGCAGATTTTTTGGAGAAAGAGCAAAATTCTTGCTTAATGAATGATTTTATTTTGAACATGGTTTTTCATTTCCATTATTTTTTTCATTCCATTCCAAAAAGTTGTTTCGTTTTATACTTCATTAGTATGAGATTTAACGGGAATTTAATAATACAAGGAAACTTTAAAAATTATCAATTTAAATAAAATACTCTAATTTTAATAAAATTAAAAAATTATGTTATGGTTTTTCCTCAATTAGGTAATTGTTTGTGTTTTTTTTTTGGGTTAATATCACAAATTTTTAATTAATTTATGTTTACTTTTTCATTATCATTGAACTAAAAATTGAATTTATTTCCGAATTCTCGCATATTGTTCGGAAGAAAAGTAAATTTTTGTTTAAGGAAGAATTTTATTTTAAAGAAGTTTGTAACATTATTAACTTTCGGTCACAAGTTACTAACTACCATTAAATTTTCAAATGTCTAAATAAAAATTGTTAAATGTTTGACTTATTCATTAAAACAATTTATTTGTATGAAGGTAATAATATCGAAAGTAAGCATCTTTGACATTTTAATTGTTGTTAAGAATGATGGAGTATTTTTTGTCAATGCCTGTTAATAAGTGAAGCAATAGACTTTTAAGATTTAAACACATATTTTACTAACCGAAAATGATGTTTCGAATTTTTTCTGATTCAAGTTTGTTAGCTTTAACAAAATTATGTACCCAGAAAGAAGTATGTTTCAGTTTTTATTCAAAGCTCGTAAGTCAAACAACGTAAGGAAACAACAGCAAAAACAGATCAAAAGAAAAATCGAAAAGCTTTTGGATTGATTATGCTTTACTTTTGATGGAAAATGGCTCTGATATGCTCTTTAAATTAAACAACATTTGTTTAATATTATTTAAAATGTTTTTTTGCGTTTTTTCATTGTTGCTTTTCAATTAAAGAAATCAAATTGGTCTTCAAAGGAGTCGAGATTCGTTGTTGTCACACAAAGTGACTTACAACTTTGTCCTTGGTTCTTAGTGCTTAGTAGCTTAGTTTAAAATGTTATTTTTAATTCATTATTTTGCAATAATAAATGCATTTTCTAAAAAATACCTTTAAGTAATTTTTTTTTTTGATTTTGCAGATGAACCACCATTATTAGAAGAGCTATTTTCTGATAAAACAGTGTATCCTGGAGTTTCAGTTTCGTTGAAATGTATGGCAACTGGCAGCCCTTTACCACAAGTAACTTGGAAGTTAGACTCATTACCACTTCCTGAACAGTTACGTTTTAGAGTTGGTGATTACGTCACAAGAGACAGCAGAGTAGTCAGTTACGTTAATATCACGAGTAAGTTATTTTGTTTCTCTTAATACTTTAAAGCACTTGATTATGATTAGGACAAATGAAGAAAAATGATTTTGTATTTATCATTTGTATAATTAATTTTACTTGCGTTAAAATTAATACATTATATGCATTGAATTTATTTATCATAGCCAAATGATGAGAATTTATAAATATAAGTATTAATATCACTACTGAAATTAACACGCACTTAATATTAAATGAATTATATAGATAAAATCACACACTGTAAACAATTCTGGTATAAATACACTCTGGGTGCATCATCCGTGAAATCCATTTTTAGCATCAAATATTTTACTGTAACTTTTTCAATAAGAGTGATTTTACGGTATTTTTTACTGTAAAAATCACGGTCCATTAGATTTTTTGTTCCGTAACATGTTCCAGTAAAAATAGATTTCACGGTAAGGGATCAGTACCCTGAGTGCTGTTAACCATTACCGCAATTTCATCCGGAATTTTTTCAGTGAATATGCATTTAGTGTACATAATTCAGTAAATATTCCCCTTTTACCATCAAATATTTTACTGTAACTCTTGTAATAAGAGTTAGATTCATTCAGTGATTTTACGGTAAGGCTTACTGCAAAAATCACGGTCTATCAGATTTTTTGTTCCTTAACATGTTCCGGATAAAAATGGATTTTACGGTAAAAAAGATAGATACACTGAGTCCTGTTAACTTTTACCGCAATTTGATCCGGAATTTTTTCAGTGAATATACATAAAATCACAAGTACGAAACGAGTTGCTTAGAACAAACAATAAGAGACGTTTAGCTCGAAGAATATTCAGAAGTGCTTCCATTACCTTAACAGTTAAATTCTTGAGTCGGTAAATATAACATAAAGAGATAACAAAAAAGTCTGTTGTGTTGTTATCTCAAGTAAAAATTTCTGTTTAGTTCAATGCATTAAAGTACATAACAATTATTACATTTAATATTATTTCATCAGGGATTCATTTTTTAAATAATATTTAATGCAATATTTTAAGAAATTGTCTGTAACTTTCATGGGGTACAAAAATGTCAATTTTATTAAAATGAATTTACTCGTATATGACTCCATTTTTGTACACAAAATCTTAAATTAAAGTAAAACTTTTTGATGAATGATTTTATTTATTAAAACTATGATATTCAGTGATTTAAAATATACTTAGATCCAAAAAAACAAGGAGCGTAACAGTTAATTATAACCATAAATAAAAATATTTAGCAGTATTATTCTATCAAAATAAAAACAATTTTTAGCTACTAACAAAATGGTACGATTAATTTGTATTTCACCAATTGTTATCAGTATATGCACTACATAGCCTATCTGTTTTATTATAACGGTGTTATTTTTTGTACTAACTTGTCAAAGTTTGTAATATATATATATTGACATTTTTCTACATGTTGGATGTATTGGCATTTTTCTTAATGATAGATTTATTGATATTTTTCTAGATAGATATTTCTCCAAATAGATACCTTGACATTCTTCTAGATTTATTAACATTCTTCAACTATCTGGCATTCACAAGAAAAGCCATGTTTACAATAACGTCATTCGTGGCCATCTCGTGATTGCCAAACAGTACGTGTACTGAAGTGAAACATTTCTATTTAGGTATTCAAGTGGAGGATGGTGGTCTATTTTCTTGTAAAGCTACAAATGAAGTTGGGACTGTGATTCATTCAGCAAGAGTAAATGTTTTTGGCCCACCAACGATTAGACAGATGCCAAATGTCACTGCTTTGGCGGGTGACATTACTATTCTACCATGCCCGGCCGGAGGGCACCCTTTATCAAGTATATCTTGGACAAGAGGTATGTATGAAACTATTTTATACATCACGGGACAGTATTGATTAATTAAATGAATAATCACTCAAAATCACAAACGTCAAAGAAATTTGTACAATGCAGCAAAAAGTTTAATTTAAAAGCCGATAAAATGTTGAAAAAATCATTCGTGAGAAACGAAAAAGAAAAGTTTGACAAGCAGCAAAAATTTAACAAAGTGAATGAAAATACAGAAAAATTGTAATTTGTGAGAAGAAAATAGTATGAAATGAATTTCTGAAATGCATATTGATGAAAGTAATTAGATTTTTTTAATAGTATATAACGTTTCATGTTTTTTTTGTAACTTTAATTATTATGGAGATTTTTTTTTCTGAATAGTAAAGTTAAATGAAGGAAAAAATCCGGCCAAAGTTAATGTTAAGTAATAAGTAATTAAAAAATAATACAACAGATAGATTATAATAATATTGCAAATTAGAGAAATAATTGAAAGAATCAAGCCTTTAATGATAGATACTTAAAACTCGGTTCTCTCGGATAGATGCATAATAACTTCTCTGACCAGCGTAAAATTACAGTTAGAAAGATTACTTTTTTTTCAATTTTTTGCTCTACTATATTATATTATATTTAATTAAAATTTCATATTTATAAAATTTATATTCAGTATACATTAATTTCAAAGTGAAGTTTTCTTTTCTTTGGTAATAATTTTATACTTCTTATTATAAAATTTCAAAATATCTGCACTAGATGCATCAAAAAAAATATAAAAGTAAATTTTAAAAAAATTATCTTTCAAGTTCAGCAAATTTTAAATTGAAATCCTAAGAATATAATATTTTTTGCATGTTTTCCAAATATAAATTTCCCTTTTTATAACTCTGCATTACATTCAAAAGCTGACGCCGAATTTCATATTTTTGTTTCAAATTTAAAACTAAAGATATATGATTTTGGCACAAAAGTAATTAACTTTTTGACAAATATGCTATAATTCGAATGTTTATAATAAAATGTTAATAT